AAATTGACGTCGCCAATGCATTTCTCTACGCACCTGTTGACGCCGAAATCTTCGTCGAACTCCCACACGGTTCCAACGGAGAGCCTAACCAAGTCTGTCAGTTGCTGAAGTCCCTGTACGGCATCAAACAGGCTCCAAGACTGTGGCAGCAGTATCTACACGCTCGACTCATCCGCATCGGATTCCGACAGCTACCACACGACCAGGGCATGTACCGGCTCACGAAAGGTGACGACTACATTCTGCTCATCGTCTACGTGGACGATCTGCTCTACATCGGCTCAACTGACAGCGTCACTACTTGGTTCGAAGGGGAGCTGCAGCAGGACCTCACTCTCACAGTGTCATCAACCGTCACACAATATCTCGGCCTCAACATCCAGGAAGAGGAAGGCGCGATCCATCTCAATGCCGCGAAATATGCCGACACTATCGCCAAACGCTTCGGACTCACCCCGATCACCATCTCCACGCCATACCGCTACACCGCAGGAAATCACAAGGAAGGCTCCGCTCCGCTCAAGCCCGCAGGCATACGCGATTACCAAAGAAACTTGGGGTGCCTCCTCTTCGCGGCCGTCACCTGCCGTCCGGATCTATCGTACTCAGCAAGCCAACTCGCCACCTACCTCAAAAGGCCCGAGGCAGAACACATGGCGGAGCTCGACCGCGCTCTTCACTACCTCGCTAGTACTCCGACGATCGGCCTGACCTATCACAAGAATGGAACCTCGACACCTAAGTTAATCGGCTACGTCGACGCCGATCACGCCGGCGACTCCGACAACAGACGTTCGCGCACCGGCTACATCTATCGCTTCGAACCTATCGGACCTATCTCCTGGCAGTCGAGCAAGCAGGAGTTAATCGCCCTCTCCTCAGCTGAAGCAGAATATATCGCACTCTGCTCAGCCACCAAGGAAGGACTGTACCTTCGCGAACTCCTGGAGGAAGCGAAACTGGCTCAGTTACCCAGCTTCTCCCTGTTCTGCGACAACCAGTCAGCAATCCGCATAGCCAACAAAAATGGATTCGCGAACAGAACGAAGCACATCGCCCTGCGATATTTCTTCGTGAAGGACGAGATCGAGAAGGGGGGACTCGAGCTGTCTTACTGCCCCACGTCTGAGATGGCAGCTGATTACTTGACCAAGAAACTCGGAAAGCAGAAGTTCGAGTACTGCATGCTGCTGACTGGACAGAGCCACGTCACCAGCAGCGACACTCCAGAAGCGAAGGGGAGTGTTGGAAACAAGTGATTTAAGCGCTCTGTCGTGTCGAAACACTAAGTCATAAACGAAGCGAAACACAGCGAAGCATCAGCGAGTCAACCCTCGGAGGTTGAGCAACTGCTGGAGGTTACGCGAAAGTCAAAGGTCAGCGACCTTTGACCTGACAAGTACAGCGCGACAGCAAGGACAAACAGCTGACTCGTCATTGAGAAGTTGCCCGAGTCGTCACTGTATCGAACCGCAACAGCAAGTAAAACGGTTATTAACTGTATCTCTTTGTATTCCTTGTACTCTTATAAAAGCTTGTATCTATTTGCTTTAATCAATCTACTTTGCCCTCACATACCAGCGCAAGGTGGTTCACAACTTTCTCACTAAACGCTTCCGCTATTACATTGTTCCTACCCAGAGTCTAATCCTGCAAAGATCCTAAGGGCTTTTTCTCAGCCCAACAAACACGTCCGCCACATTTGCGGCCGCAGCTCCTTCATAGACGACGTAGACGTCGCGTCAAGCAGGCCTCATGTTTGTCTCACCCGTTGAAAGTTGAAAATGCAATAATTTATCGCTGGCCTCAAAAGGCTGACACCTTGCAGGGAAAAAAAAAAACGAAAGAAAAACCGGAAATGAAACTACACGTCGACGATTATTTGACCCACCACCTACAAGCATGTGGACCACGTTTTGAACAGACGAACGTCCACATCTGTGAAATTTGCGAAATATTTGTTGTACATCTGTTAGTAACAGTTAACTTTGAGAGAGATAAAAATTTATATTCGCTGGAGCTGCCGTTTCCGGTTACGTTGGCGGCCGATGCAGGCCGAGCAGTAATAATTCCGTCGGCCTTGGAAACGGCGGGCCCGCCCTTTGATGCCCAAAAGTTCAGGGCGAGGAATAGAAGTGCACTGAAACTGCATTAACTAAAGTCCGACTGCGAAAAAAGTTTGTGGGCTTGCTCTCAAAGCGTCCCATCCATCAGTGTCGAAACGTCGCTTAGTTGGCTTACGTGGAAGCGATTTTCGAACCGACAACCATCACCGCCACCACCGCCAGATGTCAGGGCAGAAGCATCAGAAGCGGTTATTGATGAGACTTGGTTGCCAGGTTTTCTACTGCCCCACAGAGTGTAGAACAGCCAGACATTGTTTGGCACTGCACAAGGATAACGCGAATGACCATTTTTGTAGTGTACTGTTCGATTGGGGCACCTAGCACCAACCGAAACTGTCTACTTGGTTGAATGTGGTGCTCTTTGTTCTAGAGCGGTCAATTGAATGTGTAAAATGGTGAAGTAGGGTTAGTAACAATAACGAACTTTTGGGACACCCTCACAAAGCACAGCACGCATAGCTGCACATACTAGGGACATACATACTAGGGACAGAGTCAAAGCGCCGAATAATCCAAGGAACAGCAGCATGCTTACGCGGGTTCTTATGGCGCGAAACAAAGATATAGTAGGCCCGCTTGCCATCACAGAAATCCATCCATTGGGAAAGTCCAAACCAATCTGAACAGCAGGATTTTGCACCAGCTACCGCTGCTTGCTCCACCAATCACGTCGTGGCGACGGTCGCCACCAGGCAGCTGTACCATAAATATCGCCACTATACATCCGAATTGTGAAAGCTTTCCGTGCAACCTGTCTCAACAGTTCCATCAGTTTAAATCGTGGGAAAGGAAGTTGGGCGGAACTTGAAAGGATATGCCTCCCACCTTTTCAATATTCCTCTCAAAGAGAAACGTGAGACCACAGCCTCGATCACTTCAGTCATATCATATTACTAAGATCAACCAACCAAACGATACAATGAGTCATCCAGATCCTGCAGAGAGTCCCGCTGGCATTTCTACACAGTTCACCAGAGACTCCCGCGGGCAGTCCAGTGCCGCTAACACAGCAAGTCCGTGTGCAAGAGGCAGTCCACGTGGCATACTTGCAGAGGGGTTTCCTCAAGGATTTAGATTCCGGCCTACAGATGAGGAGCTGCTGTGCTACCTCAGGCGGCACGTGGAGGGCCTTCCGATCGCATGGAATGCGATTGGCGACGTGGATCTGTACAAGTCGGAACCTTGGGAGCTGCCAGGTACGACCACTGCTCTGCATCAACATTCTGAATGTGAAGTGTCACTATCAAACTACCAGGACGGTCCCGTGCATCAGAAAATAAGTCGCCATGGCAGTTGCTTCATCAGTGCCAGCTTGCATCTCTCAGCAATCCTAACATGGGGGAGTTGGTTCAGCATCGTTAGTAGAGGAAACCCCAAGATCCCTCTCATCACTTTCCTGATTCAGTGACAATCAGGGCGCTAAAGTCCCACTGCAGCACACTGAAACTGTCTCTCGCTTCCAAATGCCTCAAAAACCTCTCTTCCTTCCCAGTCTCCCCCTCTCCTTCTTTCCAGCTAGAGGAAAAAAGGCCAGTCACTGCAATGACTCATTGGTCGAGTCTCCTTTGCCACGAGAGACCCCAAGCACCCTTTTCCTCTCATCTCTTCCTCTTCTCCATTCACAGCTAGTGCAAGTAAAGCTGATTGATCCAGACTGCCAACGTTAAGTGACCTCACTAACCCCTCTTCTCCTCTCATATCTCCTTCTCCTCCAATCCCAGCCAAAGCAACTTGCCCAATTGCTGGCGACGGCGAGTGGTTCTTCTTCGCAGCCCGCGACCTCAAGTACCCATCAGGGTCCCGGTCCAACCGCGCCACAACTGCTGGGTACTGGAAGGCCACTGGGAAGGAGAGGCCAGTGTACGGGAGTAGCAGTGGTGTTGATGGCAAAGGGGACCAGACAGTCCCTGGATTAAAAAAGAATCATGTCTTCTACATGTAAGTTCAGTGCTGTCTTATCCCCCCCTCGTCTCAAACACCATGTTGTTTGGGGGGTTAGTTGGATTGTTGGAGTCTCTGGATTGCATGTTTGGATGCCTTTCTCGGGATCGTGTTGGGATCGTGTTGGGATCGTGTTGGGATCGTGTTGGGATCGTGTTGGGATCGTGTTGCTTGGAGACCATACTCATTCTTCTGTTGCTTGTGTGGTCTTTCATTTGTTCATTCGAGTATTTGGTTTGTTAAAAAAATCATATTGCCTATTGCCTATTAAAAAATCATTTTCTCGATTTGCATATTGCCTGTAATATTTCTGGGTTTCGAAATTTAATGCTTCACCCTTTTAATTGTTCGATTCGAAAATTCAGATTGGTTGTTCGGGTTTCCAGGTCGTTGATTTGGGATTTCAGTTCGTTCGTTCGGGGCTTGTTCATTCGAGTCTTCATATTGTTTGTTTGGGTTTCTAAATTGTTTGCGCTATTTTTCATATCGGTTGTCTGAAATTTTATATTGTTCGTTCCGGTTTTCAGTTGTTTGTTCGGGTTATGTTCCGGCAATCACTTTGATTGTTCGGGCTTTCAAACTGGGATTCCACTGTGTTTGTTCGGGTTTTCAAACTGGGATTCCACTGTGTTTGTTCGGGTTTTCAAACTGGGATTCCACTGTGTTTGTTTGGGTTTTCAAACTGGTATTCCATTGTGTTTGTTCGGGTTTTGGAATTGCTGTTTTTGACCTTCAGATTGTTTGTTCAATTGTTCGGGCGTTCAATTTTGTTTGTTTGGGGTTTTGATTTTAGGTTTAGTATATATGTTTTGTTTTTGTGTGTTTGGACTTTTTTTTTCTCATTGTTTGGATCTTCGGATTGTATGTTTGCAAGGGTGGGTCATTGTATAATGAGCCTTCAAAACATTTGTCATTTTGCTGGTGTGGGAACAGGGGGCGAGCACCAGGAGGGGACAAGACTGACTGGGTCATGCACGAGTACCGGCTGGCAGAGGATTCGGCTGTAGCTGGACCTGCTGCTACAGATATGGCCCGTGCTACAGCTGCAGAAGACCCAGCAGCAGGCGCCCACGCATCTGCTACGCATGATAGTGTGGATGTAGCAGCTGGTACTGCTAAAGGCCGAAACAGCAGCCAAGAACATGAAGCGACCAACCCATACACCAGAGGTCCGGGTGGTGCAGATGGTGGTTTAGCGAGCAGCAACAGCATCCCCAAAGCCAACAGTCCAGAGCTTCAAGCTGGAATCGATCGAAGGACCGACGTGGGATCGTGGGTGGTTGTGCGGGTGCTGAAGCGAACCGCCCTAACGGCTGAGGAGCAAGCGTCGGTGGCGCATCAGGGGATGGCAGCACAGCAGCAGGGGATGGCAGCACAGCAGCAGGGGATGGCAGCACAGCAGCAGGGGATGGCAGCACAGCAGCAGGGGATGGCAGCACAGCAGCAGGGGATGGCAGCACAGCAGCAGGGGATGGCAGCACAGCAGCAGGGGATGGCAGCACAGCAGCAGGGGATGGCAGCACAGCAGCAGGGGATGGCAGCACAGCAACAGGGGATGGAAGCACAGCAGCAGGGGATGGCAGCACAACAGCAGGGGATGGCAGCACAGGAGCAGGGGATGGCAGCAGAGCAGCAGGGGATGGCAGAACAGCAGGGGATGGCAGCAGAGCAGCAGGGGATGGCAGAACAGCAGCAGGGGATGGCAGCAGAGCAGCAGGGGATGGCAGCACAGCAGGGGATGGCAGCACAGCAGCAGGGGATGGCAGCACGGCAACAGGGGATGGCAGAACAGCAGCAGGGGATGGCAGCACAGGAGCAGGGGATGGCAGCACAGCAGCAGGGGATGGCAGCACAGCTGGGGATGGCAGCACAGCTGGGGATGGCAGCACAGCAGGGGATGGCAGCACAGCAGCAGGGGATGGCAGCACAGCAGGGGATGGCAGCACAGCAGGGGATGGCAGCACAGCTGGGGATGGCAGCACAGCAGCAGGGGATGGCAGCACAGCAGGGGATGGCAGCACAGCAGGGGATGGCAGCACAGCTGGGGATGGCAGCACAGCAGCAGGGGATGGCAGCACAGCAGGGGATGGCAGCACAGCAGCAGGGGATGGCAGCACAGCAGGGGATGGCATCACAGCAGGGGATGGCAGCACAGCAGCAGGGAGGGCTGCCTCTACGAGGTGTGAATCCGTGGCTCTTGGTGCAGCAGCGAGGGAGCGGAGCAGAGCAGCAGCCAAGTGATGCTGGTGCGGCTTGGGGCACAGGTTGGGCTAGTGAAGAAGGTGGTGTGCACAGTTCAGGAAAGATTAATCTTGAGCAGGGAGATGATAGGGGAGTTAAAGGGTTTGAAGGGGAAGGGCGTTTGGTGGTTCAGCAGGAAGCCTATGCAGGAGGCACGGGTGGTGTGGGTGGTGGCGAGGTGGCAGCGGCTTATGGTTTGGGCCTAGCGGGTGGGTTCCCTGAGAGTGTAAAAGTACATGGCGTGACTTTCATGAGTGATTCACCCTCAAAATATTCAAAAGGACAGTCAGTCAGTCACTTGCCGAACTCCTCCTCCTGTGCGGTGCCAGTAGATGTGCAGAGCAGCATCGTAGCAAGCCGAGCGACAGCTGTGATTTTCGAGTCGACTCAAATGTACGATGGAGCCCCAGCTTGGAGCCAACATGGGGCTCCATTAGATGTGCACAGCTGCATCACAGCAAGCCGAGATACAGCGGTGATTTTTGAGTCGACTCAAACGTTAGCGGAGGAGGAAGGCGCAGCAATAGTTCCGGAGGTAGCAGGAACAGGAGAAGCAGTGCGAGCAGCAGTAGCACCAGTAGCAATGGAGGTAGTAGGGGCAGGAGGAGCTGTGGGAGCAGCAGTGGGAGCAGCAGGGAGAGCTGGTACCCTCTTTGCACACCCAGCTCCCGCCTCTCCTCTCCTCTATCTGCTCCACCCGCTCTCTCAAATCTCTCCTGCCCTCTTTCTCCCACACAGGGCTGGCAGCATCAGTCAGGCAGTGCATCAAGAGTTGTTGCTGCAGCAGAAAATCATCAGAGAAGCAGTGCAGCAAGGACTATTGCTACAGCTGCAGAAAAGCACCACACCAGCAGTGCATCAAGAGTTGTTGCTCCAGCAGGATAGCAGCAGAGAAGCAGTGCAGCAAGGACTATTGCTACAGCCGCAGAAAAGCACCACACCAGCAGTGCATCAAGATTTGTTGCTGCAGCAGGATAGCAGCAGAGAAGCAGTGCAGCAAGGATTATTGCTACAGCCGCAGAAAAGCACCACACCAGCAATGCATCAAGGCTTATTGCTCCAGCAGCAGCAACGCAACAGATCAGCAGCACAGCAAGGGTTGTTGGAAGCGCTTTGCCCGCAAGGCAGCAGCCCAGCAGTGCAGCACACAAGCCAGCAAGGCAGCAGCCCATCGGTGCAGCAAGGGTTATTGCAAGCTTTTCAGGACAAGAGCACACAAGCCTTCAAGCAGTATCTGTTTGATACGAAGCCAGCTGGAAGCAGCGATGGCGGTGGTGGTGTGGAAGGTAGGGGAGATAGGGAGCAGAATGAGAGGCACGAGGAAGGCTGGGAGAAGCAGGACTGGGAGGACACGAAGAGCGAGGTGAGACGGCTTGTGGCGGGTACCGGAGATGCTTTTATCGAGGTTGAACCAGAGGTAGAGTCTGTTGGAGTATGGGAGATGATGCACGGGGGAATGCGCACTGGGGAGGAGCACACAAGAGTACCGGAAAGAATGACAGTACCACCTTCATCATGTTCCACTGATCTGATAACATCCAATCTCCTCCTTCCCCTCCACCTTACCCACGCCCCCACCCACACCCACACTCCCACCCAGACTCCCACCCACACCCACGGCCAGTTTCCCACTCTGCCAATCACGCGATCACCAATTTACCAACCTGGTTACACGGTTACCACTCAGCAACAGCAGGGTCACAGCGCACGGCAGCAGATTGGTTACCAGCAGGTGATTGCAGGCGCTTCTTCCCCTTGCTCTGCTCCTCAGCACCCGTTCCGTCCTTCCTCTTCTCTGTCCGTCTCTGCATCTTCATCTGGTGACTCTCATCCCCATAGGGAACAGAATCCTGGCATCCTGCCAACATTCACTGCTGCTGATCATTCTGCTGCTGCTGCTGCTGCTGCTGCTCATTCTGCTGCTACTGCTGCTGCTGCTGCTGCTCCTGCCGCCTCTGCTGTTGCCGATGATGGTATTGGTACTCATGCGAATCCTGCAGTTGCATTTGCTGCAGCAGCAGCAGCTGCTGCTGTTGGTAGTTGTGCTGTCCCAAATGGCGGTGCTGGTGCAGCTGGGCTAGGTGACAGAGCAGCAGGTGAAGTGATCCGCCACGAGGACATGCAGCAACTGGCTGATCGTGTCAGATCTCTTCTAAGAAATCAGGTTGGCACCACTGCAGATGCTGCTACAAGAACTTGTCCCACGGCTTCTCCTGTTGCTGCTTCCAGTGGGGATGCTACGGCTCCCCCCACTGCAACTCCTCCTCCTCCTCCTGCTTCTGATGCTGCTGCTGGTGGTGCTGCTCCTGCTGTTGCTTCTGCTGCTGCTGCTGTTGCTGCCATCCTATTTGGAGCTGATTCCCAACCCTTAAGAGCCTCATTGTCTGGTGTGGTTTCCACAGGTGTTACAGACTCTGCCGTTTTGAGAGTGGCTGCAGCTAACAGAGTTGAGCCCAGAGAGTTCTTCAACAGAACTGCAGCGGAATCCTTGACTGTATCCTCCGCCCATTTCGTTGACACGCCGTCACATGCAGCTATGGCACCCTCGCATGCAGTTTCAGCACGATCATATTCGGCTGTAGCACCCTTGACAGGAGTCCAGCCAGGGAAAAGGCACAAGGGGCAGCACGCAATGAGTTTTGGGTACCACGACCAGCAACAACAGCAGCATCAGCAGCAGCAGAAGCAGCAGCAGCAGCAGCAGCAGCAGGAGCAGCAGCAGCAGCATGAGGAGCAGCAGCAGCAGCAGCAGCAGCAGCAGCGGCAGCAGCAGCAGCAGCAGCAGCAGCAGCAGCAGCAGCAGCAGCAGCAGCAGCAGCAGCAGCAGCAGCAGCAGCAGCAGCAGCAGCAGCAGCAGCAGCAGCAGCAGCAGCAGCAGCAGCAGCAGCAGAAGCAGCAGCAGCAGCAGCAGCAGGAATACCAGCAGCAGCATCAGATGCTGCAGCAGCACATGCATCAGCAGGACATGCCTCAGCAGCATGGTCTCAGTCATGAACCTCCATGGCAGAGAAGCTTTTCCTGCCCTGCCGTCCCTCTGCCGCTTCGCACTCCCATTCAAGGCGCCAACCAGTATGAATCACCCATACGTGCCTCCCACAGCCTAGGATACGACCCCCCCCCATCACTGCAAGGGGCGTTGGACGGACAGCGAGAGCACGGGAGGTTGTACGTGAGAGATCCAAGTGATCATTTGCTGCATACCAATATGTGGGAGAGTGGTGGGACAGAATTTGCTGGAGGTGGGATGGAAGGCGAGGGGACGGCAGGAGGGGACGGGGGGGACGGTGGCTTAGAGGCAATGATTCGTCATACCAGGTGGCATGCCGGAGCACATGGCTCTGGGATGGAGCACAGAGAAGAAAACTTGTCAGGAAAGTTGGGAGCTGCAGCAGGAGGGGTAGATGGGTTGGAAATAGCAGATCTGGAGGCCCTTCTAATGAACGTGGAGGGAGAATTGGGCATCCTCAACAGCATGGTCAGAGGGTTCAGTCCGCATCCCAGTAGCAACATGACCAGCACCACTCAACCCAATAGCAATGGCACGCCCATCAGTCAATCATTTGTGGGACAGGCACCAGCCGTGGCACTGGGGTCTTCCCTGTTCAAAACAAGGCATGGTGTGTCAGAACACTCATTTGGGTTGAGAGAGGGGGTTGCTGCGGACATGGATGCTTCTCACACGGCCAATAATACTCGTAGCAGTGATGGTATGTGGTCTAGGGAGCAAGGCACCCTGTTGTTGCCCGATTCATTCTTCCCAGCACCAGCAGTAGTGCGGCCAGTGGGTCAGGCACAGGCATATGGAGAAGCAGAATCGGGAGAAGCAGTAGCAGCAGCAGGTGCAGAAGCAGCCACTACAGGCACGATTGTCGATCTAATGGGAGAAGCTCAAACTGGGAATCACGGATTAAGCAGCAGCCAGGGCTCTGGAAGGCTGCTCTCACCCAAAAGGATTCGCGAAGAGGACAGCTGAGTATTGTCACGAGCAGCTGTGACATGGGCATGAGATGGGGACAGATGGCTCAGCTCTAACGGCCAGAGTTGACGAGTGACAATGAAAGTACTGTTTTTAAGAAGAAGAAGAAAAAAATCACACACACACACACACACACACACACACACACGCACACACACACACACACGCACACACACACACACACATACACACCCCCCCCCCCCCCCCCCCACACACACACACACACACACACACACACACACACACACACACACACACACACACACACACACACACACACACACACACACACACACACACACACACACACACACACACACACACACACACACACACACACACACACACACACACACACACACACACACACACACACACACACACACACACACACACACACACACACACACACACACACACACACACACACACACACACACACACACACACACACACACACACACACACACACACACACACACACACACACACACACACACACACACACACACACACACACACACACACACACACACACACACACACACACACACACACACACACACACACACACACACACACACACACACACACACACACACACACACACACACACACACACACACACACACACACACACACACACACACACACACACACACACACACACACACACACACACACACACACACACACACACACACACACACATTGTAGAAGGCGTTTTCCATCCCCACGGCACTAATTCAATAACATTTATAATCATTGGCATAAAAGTCGTAGAAGGAACAATAGACATCATAAGTGGGTAATATATCTCGAAAGGCCCCTTATTTGTATTTACGGTACCATAAGCCTGAAAAAAGAATGTCGTAAAAAAATGATGAGATTGTTCTGAGTTTGCAAAAATTACTCAATGACCAAAATAAAAAAACAAGGAAACGAATCATGTTTTTCTAAATCCGAGAGAAACAAAAAATGTAGGGATTAGCAAACTAGGTACAACGATCCGTGACCGTTCTTGACCTGTTACCAACTGCGAGACTTTGCCCGAACACGCCATTCAAATAAAAAATGTCTCGTTGTAGAAATATGCAACCCAAATTTAAGCCTCGGGAAGTGCCCAAACCCCAACACCAAAATTGTAGCACACCCTAGATACTTGTGTTAGAATCACTAGCTAGGGAACGAGGAAAGGTCATGATTAGGTGAAGATTGGGGTACAAGACTAGAGTGTCGAGACTATTTGTGTACCCCCTAAGGCTAGCCCCAATATAGCCTAGATACAATTATGCATATGTTTTGACACACCCCCATAGGCGAAATGGGGGATAGCCAGAGCAAGTAGTGGTCACAAGACCAGTCAGGAAGGGCAAAGCAAGCTCAGGGTGGATCTCGAGGAAACCACACAAATTCCGAGCACAAGCAAGTGGTCACAAGACCAGTTCACATGCAGTTTAATAATATAGCAAGGGGTACAGTGAGCACAACCTAGCAAGTGTAAGTATGCAGGTATATATATAGAGATCACAGTACAAACAGAGTCAAGAAGTAAGCAAGTGAGGCACAGTAGGCACAAGGCCTAGAACAGTACAGAAGCGCTGATGGTCACAAGGCTGAAGCGCCTTGGTGAACACATCAGCAGTGTTGGCCCGAGTGGCCACGTAACGCAGACGAAGCTGACCACGCTGCTGCAGCTCTCGAGCAAGGAAGTACCGTAGAGCGATATGCTTCGTTCTGTGCTCCAGTCTGTGCTCCTCACACAAGGCAATGGTAGCCTTGTTGTCGACGTACAGCACTGGAGGAGAACGAGGCCGCTCTCCCAAGTCGGTCAGCAGGTAGGTGAGCCAGCGTAACTCCTGTGCAGCCATGGCTGTGGCGTAGATCTCAGCCTCACAACTGGAGCTGAGAACGGAAGACGAGCGTGTAGAACGCCAAGAAACAGAACCAGAGCCAAGGCTGAAGGTGTAACCCTGAGACGACCGCTGAGTAGCCTGGTCGTCAGCCCAAGAAGCGTCTGAGTGCCCAGTGAGTACAACTCGGTCTCGTCCTCCAAGCACTAGCCCCATGCCCGACGTACTGCACAAGTAACGCAACACCCTCTTAGCGGCATCCATGTGCTCCTTCCGGTGACGACCAGGAGCGACATAGCGTGCAAGGATGCTAAGAGGGTATGCAAGGTCAGGTCGAGTGCAGGTCATCAGGTACATGAGGCAGCCCACAAGCTCTGGATACGGGCCACTCGGCTCTACGGACTCATCCGAAGGCAGAGCTGAGAGCGAGTGACCGGTAGGCAGAGGAGTGGGCTGAGGCGAGGAGTACGTGAAGCGGAAGCGCTGAAGGACCTGCTGCACCATGTGTGACTGAGTCAAGGTGATGGTGCGCCGTGCTCTGTCCCGGGTGATCCGCAAGCCAAGATAGCTTGTCAGTTCACCCAGGTCTGTACACGTGTGTCTCTTCTGCAGCTCCGACTTCACGTGGGCGAGTGCCGTAGTGTCAGCAGTGGCAAAGACCAAGTCGTCGACGTACACGAGGATGTAGAACGGCGGCAGTGAAGTGTCGGTGCGTAGAAACAGCGACGGGTCAGCAGTAGAAGGAGCGAACCCAAGAGCCGCAAGTGTAGTCCTCAGTGTGTCGTGCCACTCACGCGGCGCCTGGCGGAGACCGTAGACTGGCCGTCGGAGGCTCCACTGGGTACCAGGAGGGAACGACCCAGTGAAGCCAGGTGGGCGGCGCAGCCAGATCTCCTCGTGCAGGCTGCCCTGCAAGAAAGCTGTGCTGAAGTCAAGAGAGTGGAGCTCGTAGTCACGCTGAGCGGCGACGTGCAGCAGAACCCGAAGAGTGGTCATCTTCGGGGTCGGGGAGAAGGTCTGGAAGAAGTCAACTCCCTCTCGCTGACTGAAGCCTCGTGCAACGTAACGCGCCTTGAAGACAGGCGGAGAACCCGGCGGCCGCTTCACCCTGAAAATCCACATGCCACTGACGATGTTCGCCCCAGGTGGGGGAACCTCGTCGACGTAGGTGCCTGTGGACTTCCAAGAAGCCATCTCTGCGTCCATGGCTGTCTGCCACTGAGAGGAGTACTCACCCGCGATCGCCTCAGCGTAAGAGCGCGGGGTCGGGATGTCTGGAGCATCCGGGTCTCCCTCAGGGGCAACTAGCATGGACACGAGATGAGGTAACGCAGCGGCAAAGCACTCAAACTCCTCCTGCCTGTCCTCAAGGACGTCCGTGCCAAGAGCACACTCACCCCCGACGGACGAAGGACAGACAGACTCAGACTCAGACTCAGCGACAAGGCTAGCGGCGTAGTCTAGACGACAAGCGGCAGCAAAGTCAACTAACTCAGCGACTAGAGCAGGCGCAGCAGAGGACTCAAATGAAGGGTCAGTGACAACTGTGGCGAGGAGACGCGTGACAGTAGGACTGGCAGCACGAAGGGAGTCAGACTCCGGGTTAGCAAGAGCAGGAAGAGAAGACGCAGGAGGAGACGGCAGAGGGACACGCTGAGGAGCAGTGGAAGGACGAAGTGCCATCTGGTGAGTGCCTGGGACAGCAGGAGGATGCTGACGCGGAACACGACGACCAGTGTGAGCAGCACGAACAGGTGACGCACGACGAGACTCTGGCGACGCAGGACGAGACTCAGGCTCACGACGCTCTGTAAGACCTCCAGTCGGACCAGTGTAAGGAGAAGGACCAGGGAGTGGCGAGGCAGGCGGTAACTGTGACTGCGACTGGACAGGCGGAGGACACTCTAAGGAGGGAGCAGGACTAGGGGGAGGCGGCTGACCAAGAACCTGCTGAAGGAGCAGAACGAAGTACGGCCGCGGCCGCGCAGCGCCTCCAGAACCAGCAGAGGCACCACCAGTACCCTCAGCTCCAGGGTCTCCAGCTACACCAGCAGCACCAGCTCCCGGGTCCGCAGCACCAGCAGCAGCTCCAACTCCAGGGTCCTCAGCTCCAGCAGCAGCTCCAACTCCAGGGTCGGCAGCACCAGCAGCAGCTCCAACTCCAGGGTCCGCAGCACCAGCAGCAGCTCCAACACCCGGGTCCGCAGCACCAGCAGCAGCTCCAACACCCGGGTCCTCAGCACCAGCAGCAGCTCCAGTAGTAGGAGTACCTCTAGCAGCTCCAGCAGCACCAGCCGTACCACCAGTACCAGCAGTACCTCCAGCAGCGTCAGTAGCACCAGCACCAGCAGCACCTCCAGGAGCACCAGCAGCACCGCCAGCAGCAGTAGCACCTCCAGCACCAGGGTCCGCGACACTAGGAGCGCCACTCCGGAGACTGCAGCGCCGCGCGTACCACTCTCGGAGCCGCTGGGGAGAGGGCAGCTCCCGCCTAGGAGGGGAAGCACTAGCACCAGCTCCAGCAGCACTCCTAGCTCCAGAGGCACCTCTCCTGAGGCTGCAGTACTGTAAG